GCGGGGCCATGGGTCACAGTGTGGCCCAGCAAGAGATCGGGAGGCGGGCAGGGCAGGCACCAAGCACTCACTGAGTCCCAGGGAGTCAAGATGACAGCCTCCAGGAGGTCACACAGGGCCCTGAGAAGACAGAGGAGGGAGACAGCCCAGAAGGTGCACTGAGCAGGTGAGGGGAGAGGCGTGCTGGCCTCGCCGCCCTGTGAAGTTGGCTAGGAATGGTTTCCCAGAAGCGGAAAAGGACGGATCACTTTGGATTTAACCTTGAGAAGAGGATGACCCGGAGGTGGAAATGAAGGCCTCCTGGGGGAGGAGGGACACATTCAGAGGGTTCTGAGCCTGTCTGTTCTTCAGAGAGACAGAGAGACAACATTTGCAGGACCTTATGAACCTACCTGTTACGGCCTGATGGGCCTGATGGGATTGATGGTGGGAAGTAGAGAGTTGAGCCTTCTTACTCCTGCTCTTGAAGTTTGCAATGCTGGGAAGCACATTAGAATCACCCACAGAGCTTTAGAAGAATACTCAGGCCTCAGCCCCATTCCCTAGAGATTCTGATTTAATATGGGTGTGGAATGAGGCCTGGGCATTGTCCCAGAAAATTCCAATGTGCGGCCAAGTTTGAGAATTCCTGACCTAGCCCATATGTGGCCAAGAAACAAGCACCCCTGGTCCCAGCCCCTGCTCCCAGCCCCTGCTCCATCTGCCTCTGACTTCTCCTCTCCTAGAGTCCAGGCTCACCTTCTCAGGAGATGCCCAAACCCATCACCAGCTCACACCCACCTCTCCTTGCTACACTCAGAGCTGCAGGAAGATGGGATATGTGGGATAGCACCTTGCAAATGCCTGGTCATTCATCTGTCACACCCCGTTACTGCCACTCCCTGAGTACGAATTGCCCTCTGTTTGTCGGCAATGAGTTAGTGCCACTCCCCCACTAGACCTTCAGCTTCCCAAGGACCAGAATCATGACATCTGTGTCTCCTCTCCCTCTAGTTCAGAAACAGAGCTAGAAACAAAGAAAGCAAGCGATAAATAACTACCCACATTTCCCGTGGGCCAGGCATGATGCTAAGCCCCCTCAATGGGTTTTCTTCTTTCATCTCTGCAATAGCCAAGTATTATTGTCCCCATGTTAAAGATGAGACACTGAGGCTCAGGGGTTCCTGGAGGTGGTGCCTGGCTTCACGTCCTAGGACGGGGAGGTGCTGGCTTGGCTAAGAGGTCAGGAAGCTTCCCAGCAGGGACAGGGAATGCAGCAGTGTGCAGCGCTATGGTCCTTGAGGATCTGGTGGGACTGCTTCCCTCAGCAGTCAGATTCCAGAGGTGACAAATAGGAAAGGATTTTCTTCTTTCCAGTCACTGCCTTTAGCTAGGTTTGGCTGAATCTCCCTTGACCATCCCTTACTGGTATCTTCTTCAAATGTCCCCTCTTCAGGGAGGCTGCATGTGTCATTCCATTAACAAAATAGTCACCCCCGCTCCTTCCTGTCCGCTATCCTGCCACCTTTCTCTAAAGCAGTGCCCCCCAGAGTATGACCCTTGGGCCACTGCCAGCCCATAAACTGTTACCTGTCTATGACACGGTAAGTACAGAAATAGACAATAGGTATTTAGAAAAGGCCCGGTGCAGTGGCTCATGCCTGTAATACCAGCACTTTAGGAGGCTGAGGTGGGCAGATCATGAGGTCAGGAGTTCAAGACCAGCCTGGCCAACATGGTGAAACCCTGTCTCTACTAAAAATACAAAAATTAGCTGGGTGTGATGGCACACGCCTATAATCCCAGCTACTCAGGAGGCTGAGGCAGGAGAATCACTTGAACCCCAGAGGTGGAGGTTGCAGTGAGCCGAGATCGTGCCACTGCACTCCAGCCTGGGCTACAGAGTGAGACTCCATCTCAAAAAAAAAAAAAAAATGTATATAGTAATCTTTCCAGTAATTCATTTTAATTGTATTTTTTTAAAGTATTGGTCCTCAACAAAATTGGACACTTAATAAATGGTCCTCACCTCAAATAATTTGAGAAACACGGCTCAAAGTCCTTGTTGCCAATTGACAGATAGGCTTGTTTGTGTTTGTTGTTCATCCTCTGCCTCCCCAACTCCACTGCCCACTCCACATGGCAAGGATTCACTCGGCTTTGTTCACTGCTGATTCCCTGGGCCTCAGTGTATATCTGATGAGTGAATGAACACATAAAGGAAGCAATCAACCTCAAGTAGATCCCATAACTTTCTGGTCATTTTTGGTTATTGAATCTGTGTCCGCCAGGTGCGGTGGTGTGCACCTATAGTCCCAGAACTTGGGAGGCTGAGGCAAGAGGATCGCTTGAGGCCAGGATTTTGAGGCTGCAGTGAGCTCTCATCACACCAGTGCTCTCCAGCCTGGGCAGAAAACCAACACTTTGTCTCTAAAAACAAAAATAAAGAAAGAAACTCAATCCAATGTCCTTCAAAACACCAAGCTCACATCTAGTTTAAATCTCATCTTCTCCTGAAGCCCCACACTGCTTCCCCACTCAGAACAGCCTTGACTCACTGCTTGCCAGCAAGGTTTGAGGTTTGAGGAAAGCACATCTCACATAGGAGCATGAACACGCAATCATCCTGCTGAAGAACTACGAAAGGACCCCTGCCCACTCTGCCTCCTCCCAGTGCAGCCTCTGGAGGGGATTGTGATCTGTCTCAGTCACTTGCTCCCTCTTCCCCCAACAGCCACCTCCTCCAGGATCAGAGGGTAGAGGGTGGCTTCAAGGAGGCGGAGATATTTTTAAAAGACTGGACATCTTCTGGTGTGAGGAGGGGAGGCACCCAGGCCTCACTTTCTGAAGGCCTTTGCTGGAGGGCCAGTCACTCCTAGGAGGTGGTGATGTCTGGCATGGCCAAGGTGGCCTAGTCTGCCTTGGTTCTGCCTGTCTTCTTAACCTGGGCAACCCTCTGGCTCCAGCCTCCTCCTCCACCCATTTCTTGGCACCTTCTCAAAACCTTCCTTACAGGAAGGGACCAGCAAGGTCTTCCTGACCTTTTCTTATTGGGCCCTCCCCTCCACGGTTCTCAACCTCCCTCCTGGTACACCTGCCCCAGCTCTAGGTGAGGAGCAGGGTTGGCCTCTGTGTTCCCAGGGAAACAACTCTGGGTCCTCCCATGGTGGCCCCCATGACATGGGCCTGTAGGTGCTGTGGCCTGATGAGTTTCTGGACTGGGGCATGAATGCCAGTCTCTCCTAGTGCCTACAAGTGATTCTTTTGGGCCCTCCCCCAACTTGTGTCTGTGGGGCAGCACACCCTTCCTCCCATGAGGTTCTGTGGCCCCCAGGGGACTGAGCCTGAGCTTCCTGCCCAGTTCCCTTTCCTCATGTAGACTAGGAAGGGGGTTGGAGCACTGGGTGCTGAGTGGTAGGGGCAGGGCCAGTTCTGCCTCCTCTCAGAGGCCCTGAAAAAGACCTCTTCCATGATGCTGGTGACTCTCTTCAGACTGTGGCACCACAGTGTCCTCAGCTTTGTGTGGCCAACAGAAGTCCCCCTCAACAACCTGCCACATCCAGTCACACTTGGTGTCACGTTGAGAAACTTGGCCTTTATAGGTGATGGGGCGGGAGGGTGCTGCTAAAAACTTCAAACCGGGCAACGGTCAGATCAGGTTAGAAAGAGCTCCCTCCAAAGGCAGCAGCAGCCAGCATGGAGGCAGAGGCCTCACCGTCCTCAGACAGGAATCTGGCCCCTCCTCTGGCCGTGCCTCCCCACTACATGATAAGGACTCTGCAAAGCCAAGGGGTCTAGCCTGCCAGAAGCCTGTGCCCACCTTCGAGACCACCCATCCCTGCCACCAAAGTGTCCAGTTTCAGAATTCCCTGCCAAATGGCCCTGAGCCCACATCCAGCACCTGTCTGGGCCTCTCCAGGGTCAGTCCTCCCAAGGGCAGACCACAGACATTATTCAGCACCCCAGGCCCAAGAAGCAGCCAATGCGGGGTTATTTGCAGAGTGTGAACAGGCTGGGGCAGCCACACACGTGTGGGTCAGAGCCAGGGTGGGCCATGAGCCAGAGGCTTCCATTTTTTCTCTTGCCCCAAGCCCTCTAAATGTTACAGTTTAGACCTGGGGCAGAGACACCTTTAAAACACCAGTTTCTTCACCTTGGAACCACCTGGTGAGCTTTAAAAACTAGTAGAGTCTGGGTCCCAGGCTCCCCTGTTCTGAGTTTATTGGTCCAAGGTGAGAAGTGAACTAGGGTCTTAAAGCTCCCCAGGTTCTCATGGGCAGCCAGGGTCGAGAGGTGCTTCTGTAGAGACAGTGCCATGGTCCAGGTCAGAGAGAACAAAGGAAGAGAGGAGGGTCTGCTCTAGGGAGCAGGGAGAGGGGCTCCTGCATAGGTGAGTGGAGGCGGCCATGATGGAAGAGGGAACATGCGAAGCCTCTGTTTGGAGGACAGAGCTGCACATGTGGGGTTTGGGGTGTTTTTTGAGATATCCATGGGGAGATGTCTAGCAGGCAGGTGGATACGTGGCCTGGATCTCAGTTCAGACTCCTGGGCCTGAGGTAGAGTTGGAATTACCAGCACATAAATGGTGGCTGAGGCCGTGAACTTGACTTTGAGCCAAGGGCATGTGGGTCAAGAGGAGAACATCAGTTGTACCCCCAAACTCCATCCTCTGTCTGTCAATCCATTCCTCCATCCTAGGCCAGAGTCAGTTTAGCAGTAGAGGGGCCTCCATAATTTGGGGGACCAGAGTCCCTAATCAGTTGGTCTAGAGCAGGCTGGTTGTGGGGAGACCCTAACAACAATCTGCTCTTCTTTCCCTCCTGCTCCACCCTCACACCCTGCCCCACCCCATCCACCACCTGCCCCACCCATGCCCTTCCTCTCTCCACCCTCACACCCTGCCCCACCCCATCCACCACCTGCCCTACCCATGCCCTTCCTCTCCTCTCCTCCTCCTGCCTGCCCCCACTTTGCTTCGCCTGTCCCATCTCCCTCCTTGACAACCCCTCCCCCACCCCAAGGTGAAGGTCTGGTTCCAGAACCGCCGCACCAAGCAGAAGAAAGACCAGAGCAGAGACCTGGAGAAGCGGGCGTCCTCCTCAGCCTCCGAGGCCTTTGCTACCTCCAACATTCTGCGGCTGCTGGAGCAGGGCCGGCTGCTCTCTGTGCCCAGGGCCCCCAGCCTCCTGGCGCTGACCCCTAGCCTGCCAGGCCTACCTGCCAGCCACAGGGGCACCTCCTTAGGTGACCCCAGGAACTCCTCTCCACGCCTCAACCCGCTGCCCTCGGCCTCGGCTTCCCCCCCGCTGCCACCCCCTCTGCCAGCTGTCTGCTTTTCCTCGGCCCCACTGCTGGACCTGCCTGCTGGCTACGAACTGGGTTCCTCGGCCTTCGAGCCATACAGCTGGCTAGAACGGAAAGTGGGCAGCGCCGGCAGCGGCAAGAAAGCTAACACTTAAGACTCCTACCCTGTGACACTGAGTCCTGAGCACAGCACCTTCCCAGCCTCCTGTGCCCCAGAGGACTGCACTGAGCAGGCCCCGGAGAGGAGGGGCAGCAGCCTCGCACTCCTCCCCACCTGCCCCCCAGCTCAGAGACTCAAGACCAAACGGCCTTGGTCCCGCAGCTTGTGTGCGTGAGTGGTGTGCGTGTGTGTGTCTCTCACTGAAATAAAAGGAAAACAATGACAAGAAGGGAAACAGCGCCCACAGCACAACTACTTACCCCTCAATCCCTTTTATCCCTCTTGTCACTGGAAGGGAAAATGGACTTAGAGTCAGAGGGACCTCAGATGGGAGGGGGCAGAAACTGGGATTCTGGGGGTCAGGGCACTCACATGTGTGGGTCAGCAGGCACCTGACTCCCACTCAATAGAGGCCCATGGCACCAACACAAATTCTTTGGTTAAATGTTGCCCTTTACAAACTCTCTTTCAAACATAAAAAATACTTGAGAGAGGGAAACATTGTCACGTTGAAGAGGGTGAATGATGAAAGGTGAGACCAGGTCGAGAGAGAGGGAGAGAGGGCATCAAAGGTAAACACAAGCAAGAGTCCAGGTGTTCAGAGTGGGCCTACCCATCACAGACTGCAACATGAAACCCTTTAGAATATATATACACACAGCCTGGCCAACACAGTGAAACCCCATCTCCACAAAAAATACAAAAACTAGCTGGGCGTGGTGGCAGGCACCTACAATCTCAGCCACTCAAGAGGCTGAGGCAGGAGAATCGCTTGAACGCAGGAGGCGGAGGCTGCAGTGAGCTGAAATCATGCCTCTGCACTCCAGCCTGACAACAGAGGGAGACTCTGTCTCAAAATATATATATATAATGTATATATTTTATATTGCTCAAACAATATAAAATTTTTAAAAGTTAAATAAGAGTCTTGCTCAAGACCCTTTTATTTAACTTTTTATTTTGTAGTAATTGTAGATTTACAGGAAGCTGCAGAGATAGGACAGAGAAGTTCCCTCCATTGGCAGGAACTCAATCGTATGAGACAGATAAGCTTCATCTTCCCTATCGTACAATATCAAAACCAGGAAATTGACATTGGTACCATGTGTGTGCATAGTGCCATGTCATTTTATAGATTCGTGGACTCACCACTGCAATCCAGATGCAGACCTGTTCCATCACCACAAAGATCTTCCTCGTGCTGCTCCTTGGTGGTCACACCCACCCCCGCCCTCCACAGGAGAGTTCTTTGAAAGGATGGGCATTACGAGACAGGAACCAGAGACCTGAAATGGGTCCTCAGGCGGGAGGATGCGGGGTCAGATTTTGACTCTGTGAACAGAAATAACAAGCACAGTCTCCTCCAGTCTGCTCTGAGAAACATAGTAGCCACTGCTTTGGTTTCAGATTGGCTGTCCTGAGTCACCTGGAGTGGGTGCTTGGGGACAGTGATCCCTAGACAAACATACTTCTGCCCTACCCTCTGCTCAGTGGTATGGTTTGGGGAGGAGCTTAGAAATGCAGAAATCCTGAGTCTAGAATGAGGCATGGGGGTGACCGGAAGACCTTGGGTTGGGCAGGTCCAGCTACCACCCAGGGTCCACCCTGCCTTGCCCAGTGGACCTGTACCACACTCCACTCACCAGGAGAAACCACAACTCTTAGTTTCATGACACAAAGAGAGTTCTTGGGAAGGAGTGGTGAGGTCTTGGGTGGAACCCAGGCCAGGCTGTGCACATAGCTTGATTTATAACTCCAGGTATTTAGTTATACGATACAGGGACCTCTATTTTACTTTCTGACCTGGACTGGAAAGGTCAGGGCAGGCCTGCTGTACAGAACTCTGGAGGTGAATGTGAGAAGATGAGACCTGGTTCTACGATCAGATGGAGAGAGACCAGCCCTCGTTCTCAAGATCTCTCAATAAAATGAGACAGACAGGCTTCAGGAGACCCAGGTCTGTGGGTGGAGACACAGGCTCAGCTTTTGGGGGCTCACAGCCCAGTGGCAGGGACAAGAGAGGCCTCTCCTAAAGGGCATGACTTAGGAAAGAGGCTAGATGTTTAGTAAATCTTGGCTGCTAGAGAATCCAGAGAAGGCTTCATGTAGGAGGCAGAACTGAGGCTGACCAGGAAATAATTCTCTACAGATGTTCAAAAAGATGACGATGGAATTGTGCGGGGAAGAAGTATCCAGGTATAGTCAGGGCAAGGAGTGCAGGGTGAGGTCAGGTTGCGAGAACAGTGAAGAGAGGGCAGCCTGCCAGAAGTTGGGTGTGGAGAGACCAGAAAGAGCTGTGCTGAGGGACGAGTGTGGGAATGTTGACAGCACCTGAAGGTCCAGGGGGAGGAACTGAATTCACACAGTTTAGGGTTGGCGGGGAGGGACCGCCTAGCACAGAAGCAGGAAAAAGCCAGCCCTCCCCTCTGCCCTTCTCCCTCCACATCCTGCAGCTCCCAGGTGACCGGGGCCCCTCCCAGACCTGCACAACTCAGTGTGAGGAAAGCTTGGGAGCCAGAGCCCGAGGCTTCCTTGTTTACTGTCAACCTAGAGGAGGAGGAGAGGGAAGGGAGGGGAGAGGGGAGGGGTGGCCGCAGGGGAAGGCTGAGCGGCTCTCTCCAGCTCCAGCTGGACCTGAGGTCTCAGAGCTGCCACCAGCAGCAGGCTCAGGCACTGGGCTCCCAGCCGGGCACTGCACCATGGCCATGGAGATAGACAGCAGGCCTGGGGGGCTCCCCAGCAGTGGCTGCAACCTAGGCGCAGCCCGAGAGCACATGCAGGCGGTCACCCGAAACTACATCACCCACCCCCGTGTCAGTGAGTAGCCCCTCCACCATGGTGGGTGAGGTCAGGGTGGGGAGCTGGGGTGGGCTGCCAGATTCCCTGGCTCTGCTTCTGGCCTCAGAAAAGGAGGAGGACCCAAGACCTGGGGAGACTTGGAGGGCTCTCTGTCCAGCAGAGTGACACCGTGGGGCCACCTGGACCAGGGGCCACCTCTGCAGGTGAGGGGTTGCAGGTCCCCAGCCCAGCCTACCCCAGAAGAGGGGCTGGGGAATAGCTGTCATCAGCCCAATCCTGCCGTAACACCCCAAGTCCAGAGACAGCTTCCAGTTGCCCTTGAGAGTGGGGTGTGCTGTGCACCTGCTCTTGTGTAAACGTGCCTGTGTGAGGAGTGTGCACCCAAGCACTCAGCGTGAGGCGGGGTGTGATTAAGTGTACTTGGAGGGGCGTGTGTGGCAGTGTAGAGTGTCAGCACTCTCAGCCTGAGGAAATAGGTGCCTTGTGTGCGTCACATCAATGGGTGCATGTCATGTTCTGCTCCCGACTGGGGAGGTGCCTGTGTGCATAAGCAGGTAGGAGCATGTGTCTAGGGGGTGCTCCCACCTTCACTTGGGGTGAGGAAATGTGTGACAGCATGCTTATGCACTCAGGGCAAAGGTGTGTGTGTGTGCACTTAGGTGTGATGTATGTGTGTGCATGTGGGCTTATGGAGAGAGCACGTGTGTATGTGTTCCGGCAGGGTCATATATCTGAGTAAGGTGAGAGTGTGTACAGCTGGGATAAGAACGAGTATCCAGGTTTGAGGCATGGAAGTGTCCACAGGCGCTGGGATGTACCCTTGTCAATTTCAGAGGGGAGGCCCTACGTGTGGCTCCTGTGCCTGTCCTGCAAGGGTGGCCCAGATGTCTGGGGCAAGGTCCAGAGGACCAAAAGGAACCCCTGCATCTCCTTGTCCAAGGTCACTCTCCCTGGCCTGGTGAATTCTCAGGCCGCCCTGCTCACTGGAGTAAACCAGCGTGGCCCGCCACAGCTATGCAGAGCCAGAGGCTCACTGGAGTAAACCAGCGTGGCCGCCACAGCTATGCAGAGCCAGAGGCTCCTAACAGGGAGTGTGATGTGAGGGGAAGTGAGCCTGACACAGCCACCCCACCTCCCTCCGTTCCTCTGTTACTATCCAGGCCAGGAGAGGAGGTGGCGTGAACTCAGAGGGTAGCTGAGGGGTGAAATCAGAGCAAAGGGGCCCAGGGGCGCATGGGAGGAGAGCCCTGGGGTGTGGGGCACCTCCTGAGGCCTGAGGCAGGTGCTGAGGGTGGAGCACATTCCAGCGAAGAAGAAATGGTGAGAATGGGGTGGGTCAGATTTCTCAAGGAAGGCCTGTAGGCCCTGCCCCGTGGAGGTTGGGGGAGGATAGGAGGTCCAGATTCTCCCTAGACCAAAGTTAGGGTCGCCTAGGCCCAAAAATATGCAGTGACTGGGCCCCCTTGGGTCCAGAGCCCAGGCCTGGAGCCCTAAGCTAGGATGTGTGACTCTTGCCAGTCTGTTGTGATGAGCCCCACTCCCTGCAGGCCGTCCCTCCTCCCTGTGGGCACTGGGGAGCTGCTGGGTGCCGAGCGTGGTGTGTGATCTGCACCTTCATGCTCTGCTTTCCTTCTTCCTGGAATGTGCTCCCACCTCCTGATGCCCAGGGACCCTATAGATAACATCTAACCCCACACTCCTCTGGGTAGGATGGCCCAAGCCTGGAGCCACCTCCTGTCAGCTCCTTCCCACCCAGCCCCTTATTTATAGTCAACATTCCCTGGAGATTCTGACCCAGGCTGGAACCCAGGGGTGGCAGTGTCCCCCCCGCCACCCCATGTTTGCATGCCTCCCTCGATGCTGGCTGTATATGGCCTCCACCCAGGAAAATGTGTTCACACCCAACAACCCAACAGGGACCCAGAGCAAAGGTCCGTGCAGGGGAGCCCCTCTAGGCTCTGCTCGCTGCCAGCACCTTTACTTTTGCTGCCTATCGAGTGTCTTCACAGGATGCACGGGACCAGCCTCAGCTCAGCCCAGATGCCCTCCCAGCCCCAGGGGCATGCTCAGATTCCTCGGTGTGTCCCTTCATCTGCAGTGTCTCCCAATCCCCTCCCCACCCCACTTGCTTCCTCCTCAGGCTCTGAGGGTGGGAGGGGTGGGGGGATTCTCCCTGGGGCCTGTGGACAGGCGCAGGGCTGGCAAGGGTTTGAAAATTTAGGGCTGCACCCTCAGTACACTGGAGGCAGGGTTGTTCTGTCCCTCTCCGCCTGTCTCCCCCCGCCAGCCTGGCCTCCTACCCTGGGTCTGTAAGCACTCCCAGACAGAACTCTGGCAGAAAAGCTGGGGAGGGGGGAGCTAAGGGCAAGGAGTCCCCAGGGCTCGCTCAGCCATGGGTGGAGATGAGTCCAGGTGACTTAAGAGGCATTGCCTTCCCTGGGCAGGTGGGCTAAAGAGGCCTGAGACTTTAAGGGTGATTTCACTGCAGTGGCTGAGAGAGGACTGGCCAGAAAGGGGGAGACACCAGAAAGGGTGGAGGAGCTAGAATTGTTCCCCAAGGACCTTGGCTCCCAGCCGGGGAGGAGGTATCCTGGAGCTTCATCTGTTTGGGCAGAAGATGTTGGGCTTGGCAGGTGGAGGTGCCCAGCAG